AAATAAACAGAAACTTGAAACGATACCAGAAGAAGATGAAACACCTGAAATCCAGGAATTTGTTTCGTCTGAAAGCAAAAAGCCAGAAACTAAAACCAAAGATTCTTTAGTAAACAAAAAACGAAAAAATCTAGCCAGTCTAAAAGAACCAAAATCATCAGAAGAAAGTCAAACGAAAAAAATCCGGAAATTTGTTTTGTCGACAGGTAAAAAGCCAAAAACAATAGCTAGGTTTGTAAATAAACAGAAACTTGAAACGATACCAGAAGAAGATGAAACACCTGAAATTCCGAAATTTGTTTTGTCAGAAAGCAAAATGCCAGAAACCAAACCCAGTGTTGCAGATGAACAGAAATTTGAATCGCAACCAACAGAAGATCAAACACCTGGAATTCCGGAATTGGTTTCGTCTGAAAACAAAAAGCCAGAAACAATAGCCAGTGTTTTAGATAGCATAAAACAATCGACATCGAAACCAGAAGAAAGTCAAACGAATGAAATTTTAACAAAAGATTTATCGAAAGATAAAGAATCGATAATGAATTTTGATATAAAAATGATTGAAAAATTTGAACAAGAAGCAATAAATCAAGAATTTGAATTTGAAGATTATATTAGAGATATGGAAAAAATAGCACTTGTAAACGATATTACGATTACAAGAATGGAAAATAAATTGGATAATGAAGAAAAACAATTTAATGATAGAATACATACTAGTTATAATTTAGAAAATCCAAATGATAGAATAGAAATTGAAGAAAAATTAATGAATATTCAACAACAACGAAATTATATAGAAGAACAAAAAATTAGATTAAATGAAATGAAAGAATCGATACGAAATGAAAAAAAATATCTTGATGAGGCAATAATAGAAAGAAGAGAAAATTTTTATAATATTTATAATAACATGCAAAACAAAAAAATTGATGACAAAATACAATTTAGTAATTTAGCTGTTGAAAAAAAAGATGCTGAAACATATTTTGAGAAAAAATTAATACAAAATATAAAGCCATTTTTTGTAAAAGAATTTAATGGTCAATCAAAATTATCGTCATCATCACCAACAACAACAACAACAACACAATCATTGAATGTGGATCCATTATCACAACGTATACAAAAATCAATGAATCAAACAATTTTATCAACAACAATAACCGCACAACAATTGCCAGGAGATCAATTTTCCAATTATTTACATCGATTTCAATAAAATCATTATAACTATAAATCCTAGTGAAAATTCAAAGTTTTTTCCATTTCCAGAATTTTTTTCCATAAAATTATGCGAATTAGTATTTAATTGTTCAATATTCAAAAACAAAAAAAAAANGAAACTTGAAACGATACCAGAAGAAGATGAAACACCTGAAATCCCGGAATTTGTTTCGTCGAAAGATAAAAAGGCACAAACAATAGCCAGTGCTGTAAATAAACAGAAACTAGAATCGACACCAAAAAATGATTCTGATTCTGTAACAGAGGAAATTCCGAAATTTATTTCTAACGAAAAAGAAAATACAAAAGAAATAACCAGCATGTTAAAAAATGATCAATCGAAAACAAGCAAAACATCATCAAAAAAGGTTTTTTTTTCATTAGATGATGAGCAAATGAAACAAACACCAGTTAGTAGCCTGAAGTTAGAAGATCAAGCAAGCGAAATTTCAACAAAAGAATCGTTAAAAAAAGATATTGAACCACAAATGGATTTTGAAATGAAAATGCTAAAAAAATTCGAACAAAAATCTATTGAAAAAGAAAATGATTACAAATATTATCTCGAAGAAATGGAACATACAATAAGCGCAAATGATATTAAAATTGCTAGAATGGAAAACAAGTTAAATGATGAAGATGCTAGATTAAATAGAACATTATTATTTATTAGTTCTGGTGGTGGTTATCAAACAAATCAGAAACATATGAAAGCAATTAATGAAAAAATATTGAAACATATGGAAAAAAGAGATTATGTAAAAGAAGAAAAAATTAAAGCAAATCAAATGAAAGAATCGATACAAAATGAAAGAAAATATCTTGATGATGCAATAAAAGAAAGGAAAAATCTTTATGATTACTACTATAATAAGCAAAACAATAATAAAGTTGGTGAAAATAAAAAAGAAATTCAAACGAATATAATGAATTTTGCAAAGAGAAAATTTGAAAAAAATACCGTACCATATTATGTAAAAGAAATGAGTTTTGTAGAGAATAAAAATTCACCATCATCATTTCCAGCACAATCACCGGAAACTGGTTCGCTTGCCAAACGGGTAAAAAAATCACTGAATGAAACAATTTTATCAACAGCAACACAACTATCACCATCTGAACCTGGATTACCACCTGATTTTGCACATGGAAATTAATTTATAAAAATAAAATTTTTTTAAATAAATAAATTCGCAGTTTTTTGTTTGTTAAATAAATTATGAGAATTATGGTTTTAATTGTACAAAAATTAAATATTCATATCGAATGGATTTGAAACAATACGATTCATGTGTTATTGAATTTTTGATTTTGAAAGAAAAAAACAAATGTTCGAATTCAATCGTAAAAAAAAGTTCGTAATTGAATCCGATAACAATAGTGAAAATAAAACATAAAAATCTGAAACAAAAAAAATTCTATATTGTATTTGGAAATTTTGGTTTTAAAAAAAAAAATGAAAAATATTATGCATTTGAAAATTGTTTTAATGTTTTTTCATTTTATTTCAATGATTGTTAGTGATGAAATTCAAACTAAAAACAATGTTGTTAAAATGTCAAACAAAAAAATTATGATACCATATAAACCAGTATATGGTGTACCAAGTAAATGTACCGGAATGTATGATTCTCAAATGACCGCAGAAGAATACCGAATCTGTCAAATAAAAGTCATTGACAAATGGAAAATAGAGACGAAACATTATGTAAGATGAATCAATAATTATTCTTCAAGTCAAAAATCAGAATATGTTTTTTTTTTGTTTCAAACATAGTACACCGAAAGCTTGGAATTTTGTTGTTTTGTATACGATGTTTTGGAATGCGAAACTAAAGTTTTGTCTAAATGTGACGCAGATTATTCAGATCGAAATGAGAAAGAGACAAGACGATTGTTTGATAAATCATGTCAACCAATCATTGCAAACAATTTGTGTAGTACCAAGAGTGATAATGAAGGTCAAAATCAAATATGGATATATATCTTAATTGGAGTCGGAATATTCCTAACAATTGTATCCATAATTACGTGTCAATATAAGCATAACCAGCAAAAGAATTTAGAAAAAGTTGCAATGAATGCTTACAAAACGGAAAAATTCCAAAAAACCTATGAAATGGAATCGGCTCGTCTTGTTTATGACAAAGAAGTAAAAAATCTTGATAAACAACGGCTTCATAACTTATCTAGACAAACGATTAGCAGTGACGGATCAAAAACGTTTTCAAGCAAAGAAAAAGGGTCAACATTGAAAAAATGGAAAAATAATATTAACAATTTTTTCGTAAATCCTGATAAAAAATTGAAGAAAGAAATCAAGGCAAAAATCGATGCAGAGTCGAAAAATGATCCGACTTTCTGGGATGATTTCAATGAAAATTCAGAAAAATATTATAAACAACCAACCGGTGTAGTAACGAAAACTAAAAATTTTGTGAAAAAGTTATGGCCAAACAAAGAAGCGAAGAATGAAAAACTAAAAAAAGAAGAATTTATTCGTTCTGAAGCTCGTCGACAGTATGAAAATATCCGAAAAAATCGATTGGAATCAGACAAAATGCCAGCAGGGAATGAAAGTATGATTGAAGAAAAAAACACCGATCCACTTTTGGCAGAAGTGATCAAAATTTTAAATCAAGAACAGGACGATGTTTATCATGAAATGAAAGATATTCCTGAACCAGGAAATATGGATGATGCGAAAAAATACATGAAACAATTAAAAGATACTAGGAAAAGAGTGCGAAATGAACGTAACAATCTTGATAAAATGTTGAGAAAGGAAGTATCTGGAATTGAAGATCAAACGAACGGTGGTCAAGCAGGCAAAATTGGAAAAGCTAAAAATGAATTGCTAGATAAAAAATTGAAACAAGAAACGAAAACTATTCAACATCAAGATTTGAATAAACAACTGAACAAAGATGAACAAATGAATAAAAAAATTTCGACAAAAGATTCGTTCGGAGATAAAAAGCCAGAAATTTTAACAAAAAATTCATTAAAAGATAAAAAATCGATAATGAATTTTAATATAAAAATGATTCAAAAATTTGAACAAGAAGCAATAGATCAAGAATTGGAATTTGAAGATTATATTAGAGATATGGAAAAAATAGCACTTGTAAACGATATAACGATTACAAGAATGGAAAATAAATTAGATATGGAAGAAAAACAATTGAATAAAAGAATACATCATACTAGTTATAATATGAAAAATCCAAATGATAAAAAAGAAATTGATGAAAAAATAATGAATAATGAACAACAAAGACTATATCAATATATTGAAGAACAAAAAATTAAACTGGATGAAATGAAAGAATTAATACGAAACGAAAAAAAATTACTTAATGAAGCAATAGTAGAAAGAAGAGAACATTTTTATAATATTTATAATATCATACAAAACAGTGGAATTGATGAAAAAATACAATTAGATACTGATAATTTTTTTGTGAAAAAATTATTAATTAGAAATATAAAACCATTTTTTGTAAAAGAATATAATGAAAATCAGACAAAATTATCATCACCACAATCATCCATGAATATGGATCCATTATCACAACAACGTATACAAAAATCAATGAATCGAACAATTTTATCAACAGCAATAACCGCACAACAATTGCCAGGAGATCAATTTTCCAATTATTTACATCGATTTCAATAAAATTATGTAAATTAGAGTATTTAAATTGTTTTGATTTTCAAACAAAAAAAAACTATTCATATCGAATCGATATGAAACAATACTTATTCGATTGAAAAAAAAATGTTCGAATTCAATCGTTTAAAAAAATTGTTCGTAATTAAATAACAATAGTGAAAATAATATATAAAAATCAGAATCAGAAATAATATTTAGTGTGTTATTTAGTTGTTTGTGTGTGGCAAGAATTTTGGTTACTGAAAAAAAAATAAATATGAAAATTATTATTTTACGTTTCCAAATCGTCATCTTGTTGTTACAAATGATTGTTGGTATGAATGTTCAACATGAAAAGTCTAATGATCAAATTATGATACCATATAAAACAGTATATGGTGTACCAAGTAAATGTACGGGAACATCCGATCATAAAACAACCGAAAAAGAATATAGTACCTGTCAAATAAATGTAATTAAGAAATGGAAAATAGAATTACAACATTATGTAAGCTGATTCAATAATTATTCCTCAAGTCAAATCATAATGTTTTTTTTTCTTAAACACACAGTACACCGATAGTTGGAATTTTTGTTGCTTCGTATATGATGCCCTAAAATGCGAAACCAAAGTGTTGTATGAATGTGATCCAGACTATTCCGACCGCAATGACAAAGAAACAAGACGATTGTTTGATAAATCATGTCAACCAATCGTTTCGAAAAAACCTTGTGGCAAGAGTGAGGATGGAGGTGATGATTGGTTATGGAAAGGATTAGGAATTGCTGCAGGAGTCGGACTATTCTTGTATTTGTTATACGAATGCATTAACTTTTGGAGAAAGGAGTATAACACAGAATTCATTGCGAAAGAAGCTTACAAAGCAGAAAAATATCGAAAAATCTTTGAAAAGGAATACGATCTTGCTGTATATGATCAAGAAATGGATAATCTCAACAAGGATATCACACAAAACGTATCCATACAAACAAACAATAATGAACAGTCACAATCGATTTCAAAACAAGACGAAGTAAAAACAAAAGAAAAATTGAAAAAAGATTTGAAAAAAATTGAAAAAAAATTGAAGAAAGAAATCAAATCACAAATCGAAACAAAGTCGAAAAATTATCCAAGTTTCTGGGATGAATTCGAAAAAGATCCAGAAAAATATTATGAACAACCAACCGGTGTGGTAGCAAAAAGTAAAAAATTTTTCACAAGGTTATGGCCGAAAAAAGATGTGATTAGTGAAGAACAACTGAAAAGAGAAGAATTGATGCGATTGGAAGCTCGTCGACAGTATGAAAATATCCGAAAAAATAATCGATTGCAATCAGACAAAGTATCAACAGGGCAAACAGAGTATGAAAATTTAATCGAAGAAAAAAACATCGATTCAATTTCGGCACAAATGCTTAGCATTTCGAATCAAGAACAAACAACAGATTTTTCTAAATCTACAAAGATGAATGAACAGGAAAAATACAAAAAAAATTTTAAAGATACCAGACAAAATGAACAAAATCAACTTGATAAAAAGTTAAGAATGGTATTAGAAAAGCCTACAAGTGAAGATCAAACGACGAAAGGCCAAGCCAACAAAATTCCAGTTGAAAGGTTGAAAAATGAACAAAATACACTAAATAAAAAGTTAGAAATGGCTTTAGAAAAGCCTAAAATTTCAACTGAAGAGTTAGAAAGGATTAAAAAAAACTACGAACAAAAGGCTATAAATCAAGAAAATGAATTCAAAAATTATATCAAAGAAATGGAAAATATAGTGAAAGAGAATTATGTGAAAATTGATAGAATGAAAAAAAATTTAAAAAATGAAATAAATAAGTTTAGTGAAAAAAGTTATAATCCAAACAAACCGGATGAAATGAAAAAAATGGAAGAAACGAAAAAAGATATTCAAGAAAAAAGACGATATATACAACAACAAATAGATAAAACGAATCAAATGAAAGCATCTATACTAAACGAAAAAAAATATCTTGATAAAGTAATTAAAGAAAAGAAAAAAATTTTTGATTCTCATAACTGGTGGTTAAACAATGAAGAAAAAGTTGATAAAAAAATAGAATTCAATATAATACCATTTCATGTAAAAGAATTATGCTTTTGTACGAAAAAAAAATTATCATCATTTCCATTACAATCAACTGAAACAAAATCGTCAATCAAACACATACAACAAAAACAACCAGATAGCGTTGTAGTAAAAACCCAAAAACCTCAATTGCAACAAAAAAATTCATCATTAATGATGATGAAAGGTAAACAAATGAAATCGAAATCACCATCACAAAACATTAACATCAAAAATTTGATTGCTAATTCAACGGCAAACATTGAGAAACAATATCAATCTAAGGGAATAAAAGTCGTATATAAACCAACTAAGTACAGAGGTATTGATAATATAATAAAACCGGGTAAATTATGGAGTAATAGAATACAAATATTAAGAGAAAGTAAAATAACAGATGACCAACAACAATCTGAATGGTATTGTCCAAAAGATAAAAATGTTGTTGAATTACAAACTGTATTTAATTTTCAAAATACTATTCTCGTACCAGGTAAGATTAAAGTATGGTCAGAAAAATGGAGAAAATGGATTAGAAAAAATAAAAAAAAGAACATCAAATCTAAAGGAAAAAGCAAAATCTTATCATCAAAAAAACCAGTTAGAGGAAAAACAAACAAACAAAGAATAAATAGACCAAAATCAGCTAAAACAATGCGAATATCAAATTGGACAAGAAGAAAAAAAATTAGAAAAATTACTATTAAGAATAATAATGAAGATTTTCAAGAAAAAAAGTTGAAAAAAAATCTTAAAGAAGAAAGAAAAAAATTTTATAATTTGAAAAAAGCACAGAAAAAATACAAAACACAAATAGAAATGAAAAAAGAAGAATTAAATTTTGAAATAGAACGATTAGATATGGAAGAAAAACAATTAAATGAAAGAATATATAATAATATTGGTAAACTAAGTCAAGAAGATCAAATTGATATTGAACAAATTCGAAATGATATTTTTGAACAAAGAAAACAAATAGAAATGAATAGAAAAAATATTGAAAATATTGAAGAAAAATTAAATTATGATATAAAAAAATGTAAAAAAATACAAAAATATAATGAAGAATATTATGAAAGACAATTGTATAGTTATTTAGATAACAAAACAAAACCTAAATATGAATATGATGAAAATGAAGATTATTTTAATAAATTTTTATCACCTTTTTCAGAAACAGTAGAAGATGAACAAAATGATCAAAACAATGAATATGAACCAAACGAAGATAATCATCAAAAATTTTCATCTCCCATTTCGAAAAGATCAAAAAGAGAAGCTAATAATGAAAAATCATTAAACATGGTAGCATCAAATGGTCAAATAAAATTATCATCATCATCTACAAACCAACAAAAATCATCCAATTTCCTTCATTCATTGGCAAAACGAATGAAAAAAATAATGAATCAAACAATTTTTTCAACAACAGCAACACAATTGCCTGAACAACAACAACAATTATTATCCGACACAATTATTCGACAAAATTAATACAAACAAACAAAAAACTAAATTCAATTCAACTCATTAATAAATAACTTATAATAAACAAACAAATAAAATTCATATTACTTGAAAATAAAATAATAATAAAAACTTCGAATTCAAACAATAGTGAAAAAATTCGTTCGTGTTAATTGAATAACAAATAATGAAAATAAAACATATAAAAATCAGAATCAGAAATAATATTTAGTGTGTTTTAATTTAGTTGTTTGTGTCGAAATTTTTTTTTTTTGGATAATGAAAAATATTTTACGTTTCCAAATCGACATAATTTTGTTTTATTTTATTCGTATGATTGTTGCTAATGAATTACAAGATCAAAAGTTACAAGATAAAATTATGATACCATATAAACCAATATATGGTGTACCAAATAAATGTACTAAAACATCTGATCATCAAACGACAATCGAAAAATATCGAATCTGTCAAATAAATGCCATTGACAAATGGAAAATAGAGTTACAACATTATGTAAGCTGATTCAATAATTAATTCTCCAAGTCAAGTCATAATATGCTTTGTTTTTTCTCAAACACACACAGTACACCGACAGTAGGAAATTTTGCTGTTTCGTATATGATGCCCTAAAATGCGAAACCAAAGTGTTGTATGAATGTGACGCAGACTAAATTCATTAAAAATACCGTACCATATCATGTAAAAGAAATAAGTTTTGTTTCGGATAAAAATTCACCATCATCATTTCCAGCACAATCACCCGAAACTGGTTCGTTTGTCAAACGTGTAAAAAAATCACTCAATGAAACAATTTTATCAACAGCAACACAATTACCACCATCTGAACCTGGATTACCACCTGATTTTTCACATGGAATTTAATGTTTTAAAAAAAAATTTCGATTTGAAACAAATATTAATTAAATTTTTTATAAACTAATTATTTTGAAGAAAATGTACAAATTTAAATGTTAAAAAAATCTTGTAATATTAAAAACCGATAACAATAGCTGAAACAAAATATTAAAATGAGAATTAGAAAAAAAATATTTATTGTATTTTGTAATTTTGGTGATTGAAAAAAATGAAAAATATTATTCATTTTAAAATTGGTGCCATATTGTTATTTCTTATTCGAATGATTGTTAGTGATGAAATTCAAACTCAAAACAATGTTGTTAAAATGTCAAACGAAAAAATTATGATACCATATAAACCATTATATGGCGTACCAAGTAAATGTAAAGGACAATCTGATTATCAAACGATTGCCGAAAATTATCAAACATGTCAAATGGATGCCATTAATAAATGGAAAATAGAGATACAACATTATGTAAGTGCTGATTAAATTCTTCAAGTCAAAAATCATATGTTTTTTTTTTGTTTCAAACATAGTACACCGAAAGCTTGAAATTTTGTTGTTTTGTATATGATGTTTTGGAATGCGAAACCAAA